CCGGGTACCCATTTCCATCTGGGTGAAGTGGGGAAAATTTGTGCAAAGTGCCTTTCCCAAGGACACAACGTCGGGCCCCTGACGGGATTCGAACCCACGACCTAACGGTTGCGAGTCCGAGAGCTTAACCACTAAGCCACCGATGCCACTAATGCACCTCATGTCCATAATTCAGAAATTCAGTCCAACAGCTGTCACTGGAGAATATTATGTACCCGATACCCCCCTACCTGCCCACAGCTGTCGCTTGAGAATATTATGTACCCGATACCCCTGTACCTGCCCACAGGATAAGGTCATCAAGTAATATTAGTTTCTCTCCACCATATTAAGTTCACAAATAAAACGGATGTACACTAACAATCAATAAGCTTTACCGGCTTCTAGCTTCTAGAAATACATCATGAATCAGTAATACTTCCAGACTCTCTCCACATGAGAAGTTTTAAATTGACCGAAATTACCAATATTTTTGCGGAAAGTGCGGGAGAGTGATAAAACATTTTAAAACAAATGTAAGCATACAAGAACGGCACACTAAATTGGTGCAAAAGAAAACAAATAGTAAGATTAAAATGAACAATAGAAACAGACACACACAAAAAATCATAAAATGTATATCTTGTCGTTAAGTTATACTGCCAGTTTGAGTGGGGGTCAGCTTCATCATAAAATATTCACTAAGTTAGTGGACACAGATGAGAAAATTAAGAAAAGGGAAAAGTATACAAAGTACAATTAATGAGCAGACTCAACAAAGTTCATCATTTAAAATTTTTTAAAAGAAATGCCACCAAAAATCACAATATAATAATGTTTCAAGACGACAAAAACAGCATTGATCTAGATCTATGTATAGATTTATAATTAAATCATTTATAACCAGCCAGGACCTATAAAACATGAGCAGGATACAGTGAACTACAAGCAATATGAATACACTTATAAAAGGTTTAGTCTGAAGGATTAGATTCCCTTTTAAACTAGATTATCAAAATCATAGGCAGTACTGCTGGCTCCAATACATCCCCCAAATAGGCCTACTGACTGTATAAAATGGTCATATATGTTAGATTGAATGTTGTGAAAAACACCTTCATCTTCGCAAGCTATTACACATTTTGTCCTCGATTTATCACCTTCACAAATCCCACGTGAAACGCCAAGTATAATCTGTGCCTTGGGGAAGAATTAATAAAAACAGCAGATTGAATTCATCGATTAATTCCGGGCCTTAATTTGTGAAGTTAGGAAGAGGGAGGTGTGAAGAATCGGTCGTTCTATTTATTTTTCTCTGCTGATGTCCGAGACAGTGCAGGTCCAACACAAACGAGCATGTCATTACTCATTGACAGGCCGTGAGCGAACAGGATGACGCCAATTGCCACTCATTGACAAGTCTCGTGACGAAAGCTATCTCTCTATTCTCTTCGTTTCACGCCGCTCTACTCAACAGACGTGTATCGAACAAAAACAAATAATATAACAGCAGACTACACTACAGAATCGGGACTCTCGCTGCCCCACAATATCTATAATTTTACAAGAAAGTCGAAAAACAAATCTGAGTAAGCCCTACCTTTAAGACAAAATTCCTTTATTACGTTGACAATCATAAGAAAATCCTTCCTCGTTGACGAAAGCTCTTTGCACTTTCATGTAAAGGGGAAGTTGATACTTTTGAAAAGATAACGCCCCCCTCATGCGACACACGCCTCTATTTTTACCGTGACCTTTGACATCTCCAATGAAAACAAAGTTTTTCATAAAATCAAATAAAAATATTTCGCTCTTTTAGATACATCTCATAGCATTGATTTAAAATACTGAGTACAAAGTGATATTGCTATTTCTTTTTAACATTTTATCAAACATTTATGTGCCGATTCAGTATTCAGCACACAACTGCCATTCGCCTCGTTCCTCACTTCCCATAGTTCCCAAGTAAATAGTTTCCAACCAAGCCACCATGGCGCCGACAACTGAGGTATTCAATCAGTGCAATGTTGTTTATGACATGTACACCTGTTATCTGTACACTCCATTTAGGAGCGAAATGTACATTTTGTCCGAATGTATTCAATATAAATAGAGAGAACATCATTGTTAACTAAATTAAGACCAAGACGTGATTTGAAAAATAAACAAATCGAGCTCTCCCGGCTTACTTCTAGATTCAAGATCTAGAGAGTAGAGATTCTACGTCTACACAGTAGTACAGACTACAGTGTTCAAGTTCAGTGTTCAGTATCACAGTGTAGTGAGGTGACTGTGGAGTTTATAGCCTGTAGTGTAGAGTATAATGTGTAGTGAAAGTCAAAGTGTCAAGTCTAACTAAACTGTTGCTCATGTAGGGTAAGATAGTGGCTATTCTCACCCGCCTGGAAGTTCTCGCAAGATCAACTCCTCCCCTCTTCTCTCTCTCTCTCTGTCTTTTTCTGAATACTGTCTATCGGTGTGGACGATCAAATTGACCAAAACAAAGTTAAAAAATGATGTTAAAACACAAAAGTAAATTAATTTGGTTGTCTACAAAGATGCTACGGCTATTTAACTTTTCGAATCGAGCCGAACTACGCGGGTCGCCATTTTGTTTTGCCCGGAAATTCTCGCACTACTCCTCTCTCTCATTCTCTCTCTCTTTCCACTGCCCACAGACAAAATTGTACGCTTTTAGTAGGCTACAGTTGTAATGGAACGTTTGTTCACGGCACAGAATTCTACAATTTTTCTGTTATCACAGTGTAGAATTCTGTGGTTTAGGGTGAACGCAAAATTTGGTGAACGTGCACCGGGTGAGAATAGCCACAAGACTCGCCTGCACTATTCTCACTCCGGGTGAGAATAGAGGTGGCCAAGATAGTGACACCTAAAGTCGCTTTCGGCGATTGTTAAAATTTCTGAGTTTAATTCCGATTTGCATTTTTCATAGCCTCGGGCATGTTTCGCTTTGGTCCCTAACCCTAACCCTGACCCTGACCCTAACCTTAACCCTGACCCTAACCTTAACCCTGACCCTAACCCTAACTTTCTCCAGGTAAGAAGGGACCAAAGCGATGCCCGAGGCTATGAAAACGTAAATCGGAATTAAACGCGGGAATCTTAACAATCACCTCGCTTTCATCAAGGTTGCGATAACCAAATAAAAGCAATTAGCGGCCCCAAAAGCGAAGAATTTTTCTTCTTTCTCTCCATCTTACACGAAGCACAAGGCCCATCACCGATTCCTAACACATTGTATTGTACCAAACGAGGGCCCTGGCATAGTGGGTTTTCCCCCTTCAGAGAGAAAGAGTTAATGGTTAAGACAGTGAATGTTTGTCTAATAACTAAGCCTAAGAGTGAGCCTGGGTTAGTGACGGGTTTGACGTTTTACTGAAAAACCCTGAAAATACCGAAAACCCTCGAAAATACTGAAAACTAATCACCTGTGCATACATAGACTGGTGAATTCAGGTATAGAGTTCAGGGGCGAGGCGATAGCTTATAACTGGCTAGAAGTCGAGAGATCCCTGTTGGGCTAGCTGCATTTCTCAATCATTTCTTGTTGTAGCAATGCCTTATCTCTGTGCAATTTGTAGCAGAAACTGTGGAAGCGATTCCATAGAATGCTTTACCTGACTCAGCTGGATTCACCAATAAGTTTTTTTTATATATATGTGAGGCAGCGTGGTGAAATTTAAGCCGCTCGTAAAAATTTGTTTTTTTGCCTCAACACCTTTCATGTCAATATATATATATAAAAATACATTTCCATGTGAATTTTACTGAAAAACGCTGATTAATGGCACAAAACATGTAAATTTTCCGTTTTCAAAGACTCTATAGCTTTAGTTACCAAACTTTTTACCTGAGAAAACAGGTTACTCCCACCTTTTTTAATTGCAAATATATCGACTTCTATTCAAGATAGATGGGTATTTTTTTCTCCTCAGAGAAGAGCAAATAAACAAGCTTTAAGTTTATACCAATAAGTCCACATTTCCAAAAAATGACGGGCACCCAATTCCACCACGTCATGACACGTATAATATCTGTGTGTTAATGGGGGGGGGGGGTTCTTTAAGTGATAGTGAGCCGAAACTCAATTTCTGGATTGTGACTTGCTTTTTGTGTGTTTTCTTTTGTTTTTGTCTTTTAAATGTCATTGTTTTGTGAAAATGTGAAGTTGTTGGATTTTGTTGTTGTTGTTGTTGTTGTTTATTATTTTCACAGAGTTCTTCAACACAAAGCTTTTATTTACATTTGTTTTTATACAGTCACATGAGGTGATCAATGCCTGATAGATGTATTCTTTCTATTGGTTTTCGGGGGTTTTGTGGGGTTTTGGTTAAACTTCATACTGGTTAGTGACAACATGCTTGAGTGTCACTATTTTTTTTACTTTCTTCTCTACCCTTCTTACTTACTTTCACTTTGAAATATCATTTTTCTCTCACTTTCTTTATACTTTTATTATTTTACAGGGAGCTGATGAAAAAGGAGCTCGGAATACAATTTTATTCAGTGCAACGAAAAGAGAACTATTTGCCCTCAACAATGGCCTGAAGACCTTGAACAGAAAGCTGAAGTCATCATGGAAACTCGTCTCGTAAGGGATAGCACATTTTTTTACTGTTACCATATCATCTTTTGAAATACTATTAGTGGAGCTTTTAAAAATTTAATGCAATTACTGTCAAAATTGTTTAAGACCGACGCCCATCGTCAAGGAGAAAAGTGGTGTCTCAGACAATTGGGCGTCTCGGATAGTCTTACTTTTAATAGAAAGAGACATAAAGGTGGATGTGGGAAACTGGTTTCAACAGGTGATCGTCTTTGATAGGTGGCTGTTAGAGCAGATTTCACTCTAGTTTCATTTTCTTCCGTCTTTAGTGTCCTTTAATGACTGCACTTGGCAGTGGCATGCTCAGCAAACTGTGTATTTCTTTTCACAATCTCTTGGGTTTTTTGTAAAGTGTTTTACGGCGCTCGCAACTGCATTAGGTCATATGAGGGCGCGGGACACACCTAATATTTTCAGTTGGTAGGAAATTTTGAATTTTGCCCGGATGGCGGCCGAAGCCTACTCTTATCGATTTTAGACCACCAAGGGATCTTTAACGTGCGCAACTTGCACACGGGCCCTCCGAGATTTTTCGCCCTTGTCCGAGAAGGCTAGGTGTAGATCTTTCCTACCAGAAGATCAGGGGTGTGGCAGAAAGACAGCAGTAAGGAGGAGCCAAGGAGTAAAGTAGAAAGGCTGCAGAAAGAGTCAGGAGCCCAGAGGAGGGGGCAAAGGAGGTGAGGGGGTGGGGGCAGAAAGTGAAAATGAAAGCAGACTACAGAACATTGCTTCACAATCTCTAAAGTGAGAGATGTATTGCTGGGGGTAGATGTATTTCAAGTGACTTGGATTTTAAAAAAGGGAGGAACCTTTTCTTGTAAATGATTTTGTAAATTTGGCTTTTGACTTTTCCTCCTAACCATCCTAACGTCACAACAGCTGATTAGATAAGCCATAAGTTTTATTGTTCTAAAAATTTCGGTTTGTTTATCCTGTATTTTATATCCCAAGACAATTCAACTCCTTCACAAATGAATTCTGCTTTCTATTTACACATTACTGTCTGAAAATGTATAGGTTTTGGCCCTTACTTGCTTGGTTTGCCTGTTCTCATGCATTTTGCAATAGAATGTTGTGAAATTATATAATCATCCCTGATACCACAGTCTATTTGTTAGTGACACTTGTAGGTTTAGTTAAAATACTCAAACTAATTTACTAATTGGAAATGAAAATGTTTTAGACTTCAAATGCCTTTGACATCCATAAACCATGATAATATGCATTCGAAGAAATTTTAATTCAAGTGCAACATTTGATGTTTTTCTGCATATGAAATCTTTTGGACAGAAACAAAGAGGACATTTCTCCAGACAAACTGAACCAGACCCGCATCTTTGTCATACCTGGCGCCAGGGAAAAGTTCACAGCAGCTGAGGTAAGTTGAAGTGAGAGACGTGATCTCTTATACTTTATGTGTGGGAGCCTGCTGCAAGTAAATATGTATACCACTGGCTTGATAAAACTGATTGTTAAACCACACACTGTATTTTGATGATTATCAAGTAGTGGAGCAATGTGTCGAATGATTTTGTAGGCAATGCTAAGGATTATTTCATGGATAGATATGATTGAAGATGAATTGATGAAAAAAAGAGGAAAGGTACAAAACTATTCATATTTTTTTTTAGCAAAATTTTGCTAAATTCTTGAGTGGACATCTAGATTTGTATTTTCTTTTGGGAAAGCTTTTGTAAAATTGGGTTTCAAAAAAGTGTTGCGGAAAGAATGTCACAATTCATTGTGCTGTCGAAGCATTCCTGGATGAATTATCATATACTAGTCTTTAAGAATGATTACAGGGTGCATTGTTATAGAATGTCATATTGTGATGTTAATTAAATATTTTTCCTTGATTTTGTTGTTGTTTCAGTTTGCCACAATGAAGGCGTATTTAGAATCAGGTGGCAGTATCATGGTGCTGTTAGGAGAGGGAGGAGAATCTCGCTTTGAAACAAATGTAAATTTTTTTCTGGAAGAGTTCGGAATCATGGTAAATAACGGTAAGTAAAACAAAAAAGTGCTGATTTCAGCTTCAACCTTCTTGATTCCAGAGGGAAATAGAAACCCAGAAATTCTATTTTCTTTCATGATGTTTTTGACACATTCCCGTTCTGTCATTAGTTTATCTCAAATATTTCTTTGATAAGCTGAGCTATTTTTACAATGAAGATATTAGCCTTTAATGTAACTGTGTTGAAGAAATGGCTCTTGTGGTACTGAAGTGTTTTCCTTTTTAGGTTTGAATCCAGTTCAGGAAAGTTTCTAAACTAAAACCGTCAAGCAAGCTGCTTTTGTATTTTTGCTTTAATAAAAAAAAAACTTGACTGGCCTTTCATGGATCGTACCATGACATTGCAAGAAAGGCACAACATGCTCATCGTAAATGTTCATGGAGTTCTTCCATACTTCATTCATTTGTTTCTTGTTCTCCCTTCAAACAGATGCTGTGGTCCGAACGTCTTACTACAAATACTTTCACCCGAAGGAGGCCTTGATAACAAATGGTGTATTGAACAGGTTAGTTTTTTACTATGCTCCTCTGCGTTGTTTTTGTTTTTTTTAATTGTGGGTTGCTTTTTCCACTCAAATGAGATTCATTTATGTTGTTCTTTAACCCTATCCTCACGCCCTGGGGTCATTTTGTACCCCCGGGGTTGTAGTCCTCACATATTAGAATACTTCTAGTACAAATATATGTCTTTGAAACTTTCAGTTTTTCTCAAAAATCATTTTGACAGACTGCTATACGAAGCGTACGGATCGGATTAACGAGCAAATTTCCTCTTTGGAAAGTGGTGGCACAGAGTACCCCATGTCGTGTGGATACGATAGTATGACACGACGTACTGATAGGGTTAATAAATATTGTTACAGAGTATTCATGAGTGTGTTGTCTTCTTAACTTGAGATTTGAAGAAGAACAATTTGGGACTCAGCTAGTAGTGTGCAACTTTGGCAGTGTTGTTGTGATGGGGTGGTTATTGCTGGACGCTCAACAGAGAACTGAGAGGCGGCTAGAAGGTCTTCTGTTTGTGCGTAAGCCTGCTGTGATTTATATATAAAAAAAATGTTAGACAGCGTGGTGGAATCAGGCTCTCGTCAATTTTCGGGCATGTAAAGTTATTGGTATCATCTTAAAGCTTGTTCACTTGTCTTTATTTGGATGTAAAAAATATCCATTTATCTTGAATACAAGTTGAGATATTCGCGAATGAAGGAGATGGGGGTCACCTGTTTTCAGAGGTGAAGTTAGTGAGAAATGGCCGCCAAAGATTACTTGTTTCCTTAGCTTAAGAGTCCGTGGTAACTGAAAATTTACATCTTTTGTGCCTTTAATCAACATTTTAAAGAAATTTCCACAGAGAAACGAGTTCTTTAATGGGCATGAAAGGTGTTGAGCCCAAAAACAAAAATTTGATAAAAATTCACAAACCTGCGGAAAAATGCAAGTTTCTTCGCTTTGATTATTTTGACGAGAGCCTGATTCAACCACGTTGCCTCACATATACAGTTTTGGTACAAATTGTTCTAGTTCTACAACCAACAAACAGCTGTGATTGCCAAGGTGCTGGTTTGCCGTGTACTGTTTTTGGGTTCAGCCTTCAGTGCCTAGATGTATCTCCAGTGTTTTGTTTTTTCTTTTTGCCATATTTAGACAGATTGTCGTGATATATATATGGTTTCACTTTGCTCAGCAATCTCAAATTTGTCATTACCAAAAGTTATTCTTATGTCATAAATTTACGGGTTTACTCCTCGTTTTATTTGGTTGCTTTTAAGCACAGGGGGCTATCCGGAAAAAATGCTTTTTTGAGAAAATCGAAGGTAAAGTTTTTCCCCATTGTTTAGTTTCTTTAAAAGACAAGGAGAGTTTTCTCCTTAACCAAACAAATATTCACACCAATGAAACCAAACTTCTCTTATAGGTAGGGCAATGCCCACTTTTGATATAGGTCCAGATTTCAGCATATCAATTATGTCAGTATACAAAGTTTTGCTGAAGCTCTTGTTCTTCCACTTTCAGGGCTATAAGCCAGGCAGCTGGAAAGACCTCCTTCGGGGTTGGAGACGAAGACAGCAACAATTCTCAGTAAGTTACGTATATGAGGAGATGGGAGTGAATACCCTAAACCTTTTGTAGAGTTCTTTCAAATACAAGGCTTAAGGTTTATTAGAATAACACTCATGTAAATTTTACAATTTCATTATTATGAAGCATACAATAGCTGTTGACTGTATATTGGAATACGGAGTAAATGTGGGTAGAAAAGTCTTGTGCAAAGCTGTATTTCAAGAAGTTTTGCGTCGTTAATGTGGCAGGTAACCGATTAATATTTTTCTATTTCTCAGTAAATGTAAAAAAATATTTAGATTACTTATGTTTTTATTTTGATTTCTGTAGGTGTTACTGAGAAGTCTTGGTTTTACTTTTTGAAACTCTGTACATTTGTATGAAAGATACTGAGTGGGGTTCTTGACAATACACGATATAAAGGATTTCCTTTTAAATGATAAGCTTTGTAGTGTTTGTGATGGTAGTAGTTAGGCAAGAATATTGAGCTTAATATTTATTGTGGAGTGTATTTTTCTATTCACAGATCTGTCCTGTTCAGTGTATTGTAACTCCCTTTGTTTATTTCCCTTGACCAGGGCCCTCTCCTTCCTGTATCCGTACGGAGCCACGCTCAATGTCGCTAAGCCCGCCTCGGCCGTGCTGTCCACCGGCAGCGTTTGCTTCCCCTTGAACCGCCCTGTGTGTGCTCTCTACTCCTCCAGGGTGAGTGGCGGGGCTGCCTCTTTTCTTTGTTTGTTTGGGGGTTTTTTGTTTGGTTTTATTTTGTCTTGTGTCTCTTTGTTGGTGCCGATATTTGTAAGTTACGTAAAAATTGTTTGGTTTTCTTTTGTCCTGTGTCTCTATGTTGGTGCCGATATTTGTAAGTTACGTAAAAATTGTTTGGTTTTATTTTGTCCTGTGTCTCTATGTTGGTGCCGATATTTTGTAAGTTACTTTAAGTTACGTAAAAATGCACTGTCGTGGTACAAATTGTTATCATGTTGTTAGACTAGAGTACCATTCATGTTAATTTTACAGTTTCATTTTTACGAAGCATATATGATAACGGGAACTGACCAAAGCTATTGATTTATTATTGTGTTGTTATGCTTCAACAACAAAAAAACAGAACAAGAAAAAGGGGATGTGATGATGATGATTATGCTGATGCAGCATGTCTTTTGTTACAATAGGCAGGGGGTTCTTTATTAATGTTTATTAAAACAATTTTGTTCTTTATTAACGTTTATAAATTTTGTTTGTCTTTGTGTGTTTTTGTTGGCAGCATCACAAAGGGAAGCTAGCTGTCCTTGGCTCGGTACATATGGTCAGTGACCAGTACATCGACAAAGAGGAGAATTCTAAGATTTTGGTAAGTTTGCATCCTGGAGGGTTTGTTTTTTTATCTCCAGAAATTGAAATATGTGAGGCATCGTGGTGGAATCGGGCTTTCGTCAATTTTTGGGCATGTAGAGTTATTGGTATCATCTTAAAGCTTGTTCACTTGTCTTTATTTGGATGAAAAAAATATCTATTTATCTTGAATACAAATCGAGATATTTGCGAATGAAGGAGGTAGGGTTACTAGGTCTAAACTATATATCGCATTCTTTTTCATTATTTTTTTTAAAAAAACAAAGCTCAGTTGGAAATATATCTGCTGATGTGATACTTTCAATTTTAAGAGGAATGCTGGTTTAGGTTGGAAACAAACTGAAGAATCTTTTTTTTCTTTTCCTGAACGATCACTCAGGATGTCCTCATCAATTTCCTGACAACTGACGACATCAAACTCAACCCAATCGATGCTGAAGATCCCGAGGTAAGCGGCTTTTTTGACCTTATGTTTTGTGTTCAGATTGGGCATGGTGAACGTGGACGGCATAATGTAAGGCTTCACCATAAGCCATTTTGAAAAGTGACATATAATGGAGTCTTAACTCTTTAACCATGCAATTTAAAATCATGTTTCCGCGTAATTCTCTCGTGCTTGTGGAAGTGTGACCTGACATATTACATTTTTAAAACCGCTTGTTTCGTGTCAAACTGATCAATAAAGGATTACCCAGACGTAGAATTCATTTATCTTTGAATTCCGGGTCAAACTAAAGGCTTGTTAGCTCGAACTTTTTTATATTCGACCCGTACCATAATACAATAACAACTTCGCATCGGGTGGTACCGTCCAGCCTTGGTTAAAGAATTAACGCCGAGTATTCGATAATTGAAAGGTTTGTTAATTGAGATCAAGAAATGCTGAAACCAAGAGAGAAGCCTGCAAGCTGCGCACATTCACAAGTGGAAGTGGAGCTTGTAAATGTTCAAAATGTGGCAAACTTTTCTCTGCCAGAACTGGTCTCATCAGCCACAGCAGATGCCACAAGTCACCTAAACCTTCAAATCTTCCAACTCTTTTATTTCGCTGGAGAGATATTCTTCTATGTGGACGTATATTATTATTATTATCATTATTATTGTTAGTATTAGTAGTATCATAACTGAAGGTGGACTGCTTCGACTATGCCTCTCCGGGGCGACTGCTTCGACTATGCCTCTCCGGGGCGACTGCTTGGACTATGCCTCTCCGGGGCGACCCGGGCTGAAAAGGATACAACATCCTGGCAGACAGACATTTTATTTTGTAAAAACATCTTCCCATACGAGAATCGAACTCATGTCTCCTGCATGGGAAGGCAAAGGGTGTGACCATCACACCACAGACGCTGGTAGTATGATACGAGTTTATCGCCTCTCTACAAAGAATTGATCGAAAAGTACATACTGTAATATATAGTCCAAAAGCAACGTTGTGTCTTGGTCTGTTTTCTGTCAAAGAGGGTCCACGCCTCTCTTTGAGCCAATTTTAAAAAGTGTCCTCAAAATTTGGTGGCGCCCTCTTCGCAAATGTGCACCCTTTGCGAACAGAGTTACCTTATTTGTGTTAAAAAAATCAAAGTGAAACTAACAAGTTTTTGAATAAATAAGATTTCAAATTTCGGAAGAATGCTTTTTTAAAATGGTTACGCTGACAACTGTTTTCTTCCTTTATTTTGACTTTAGAATAAAAGGTGAGAGGTCATTAAAATTTTAAAAACCTAAAACTCCGCACTGAACGAACCCGAACAGCTGATGAACAGCAGTCGATCTGCGCACGCAAGGAGGTGCTATTCCTATTCTTCTTCTAGAGAAACGAAAGAGAGCTTCAAAACAGACTACAGCGCCATCTGAAGCAAAGAGCGAACTTCCGGCGGACACTTTTTTGGCTGAGTGGACCATCTTGCTATGTACTATCTTTGTTTCTGTCAAGTAAATAGTTTTATTTCAAGTGCTTGGAGTTGGGTTTTTTTTTTTCTTTTTTGTTTTTACTCTGTAGATCAAGAAAATTAAATTTACTATCTAAGGCAGTTGCATTTATAGAAGAGCTGTTACCTTCACATGGTTGGTACATTTCATTGACTTTCTCCTTTTTCTTTCTTAATTTTCTTTTTTTTAAAAAATGTTTTCCCCTTTAGATCAACGACTACAGCCAGTTGCCAGACGTGGCGCGACTCTCGGAGCAGCTCAAGACCTGTCTACAGGAGAGTGACGACATTCCAAGGGACATCACCTCGCTGTTTGACAACTCCATGTTCAAGCTCGACACGTCGCTGGTGCCCAAGTCTATCAAGTACGTGTCTGTGGGTTTTGATTTTGAGGGGAGACCGCGTGCAAAGTTTAAAGGGAGTGTTTTTTGTACAACGAAAGTTTGCAAAAAGTATCTAGAATTGTTATAAATGACTGTATTTGATTATTTTGCTTCTCTAATAATTATATATATCCTCATTTGCATATGCCACAAACTCTAGGTACTGTATAGAATTAAGCAAAATCACAGGCTCTCACTCAGGGGTGGCATAGCAAGGATGATATATTTTACATCAACACTTCTCTTTCATAAAATCTAGGAAGATTTTAGTTCTTCTCTGAGTCTAAATTGTATTTCTAACTTTCGACCAAAAAAATTCAGAAAAACAAACCCCAAAACTTCCAGTACCACTAAGCTTTGAAATGGCCAGAATATGTTTGTGTGTCGCTATTTTAGAGCAATGTCATTGATGTTTTTACGAGATAATTATAAAGTGTAAAAAAATGCAATGAGGCTGCTAAGCAAAACTGTTGTGCAGGTCAGGACAGGGTGATAATAATTCATAATCACTGAGATCTCAAGTGTCCGCTATTTAGGAGCAGTTGTTTTTTAACCTTCTGTTCTTGGTTTTGCTAGGTTTGCATATTGTCAATCGCAGTTGTTTTTTTTTTAACTTGTGTAAGTTTTTTTCCTTTTAGCGTTTGTCTGTGTTTTTTGTTAGTGTGCTGGGGATAGATAGTGAGACAGCATTCAAATGTCAGCTGAAGTCGTTTCTATTTTTAAGTTAATAAGATGAAGAGTAATTTTCTTTAGTCAGAACACGTTTTATGTTACTGTTGTACGTTGTACTGTTTTGTAAAGCGCTCAGAGCCTGTGTACTTTAATCGGGGTTGAGCGCAATATAAATGTCAATTATTATTATTATTACAGCAGAATAACATTTTTGTATGTGTTTATTTTGATGATTTTTTGTTTTTAAAGAGTTTGTTTTGTTTTCCTTCCCCAGAGCCTTTGAAGAGCTGAAAGTGAAGCACGAAGCCTTGACCCTGATCACCCCCCAGTTTGAGACGCCCCTCCCTCCACTGCAGCCTGCGGTAAGCAACAGTCCTGTCTACCTTTTGTTCTGCTGTTTTCTCGGGAGAAGTTTCCAACAAAAATTTGTCTTTGACTTTGAATCTCAGAATTTGTGGTTGGGGGTTGGGTGGTGAGTTCTTGTTTTGTAGTCTACCCTAAGAGACTTCTGGCTCACCTTGTTGGGTTTTTTTTGTTGTTGTTGTTTTGCTTTGCAGTTTATTGTTTTTGTTTTATATATTTGTGTGGCATGATGGTGAAATCGGTACTGGGCGAAATAAAGAAACGGGTAAAAATTAATTCCGCTTGGCATATTTTACGTCCATTTAAAAAAAACACATTTAAGTTCTTTGTGGGGTTTACTGCAAGGTTTTCATCAACGGCGCAAAAAATGAAAACTGTAATTTCCAATGACACTCAGGCCTTGGAAGGTACCGTACCAAACTTTGGCAGCTTTTAATTTTTGTAAGAGTTTTACGGCACTTGCAACACAATAAGGTCATATTATAAGTGCCGAAGATTAGAGGTGTTACAAGAGAGTAACAAACACCAAAAAAGAAGGAGGAGAGAGATAAGGACGATAGATGTTTGGTAGGAAAGAAGGAGCAAACCACACCAGAGCACCCGCCAACCACCCACTTTGGCAGCTTTTTTCTCACTGATTAAACTCTGACCCAAGGCAACCCCCACTGTCTTCAATCTCATGTTGACTGCGTGACAAATATATTTCAATTCTGATGTCAAACTCCCAGAACTCTATGATCAGTTATCGACATTGATGAATCTCTTATGTAGAGCTGATCAGACTTTGATCTTCAGAGCGCGCACAGGACACCTACACACCAACAAGCACATAAATAGAATTAACCCCATGTGGGAACCCCATTGCAGACACTGTGACTACCACGAGGAGACCGTTGAACGTCTTCTCCTTCACTGCCCAAACCTGGCAGTTCTTCGACGCAGGCTCCTACACACACCTACAGACTTACAAAGCCTGCTCTACTCTGGCGCTGACCAGATGACAAAGACATGTGTTTACTTGAGGGAGGCATTGCACTGCCAAGAGCGAAATGCTCGCAGTTAAAGGGATTTGAAAACAACAACATCAACATTGATATGTACATTTTGTCTTCCTGCAGGTATTTCCTCCAACCTTCAGAGAGTTGCCTCCCCCAGCGTTAGAACTCTTCGACCTCGATGAACAGTTTTCTTCAGAGAAAGTCAGGATTGCCCAGATCACTAACAAATGTAAGTACAAATGGTCGCTGTTAAGGACAAGCGGGCTAACCCAGATTTCAGGGGTTTCCAGAAACCTTGACCTACACCAAAAGTGGGCATTGCCCTACCTATAGGAGAAGTTTGGTTTCATCGGCATGTACATTTGTTTGTTCGTAGAGAAAACTCTCCTTGTCTTTTAACACTTACAAGACTGCAGGGTCATAAAGTGAAAAACCCTTGAGTACCGCACCGATTTAGAAGTCAACAAAATATTTAGGGTACGTTACAAAAAAATTCATTGAAACAAAATTCATGAACAGAATTACTTGAAATTTTCAAGATATATTCAGAAATAATTGTACTTTATAGAAAAACCTCTTTTGCGACACATAGACATCATGATAAAACTCCCATTCTATTTGGAGAGGGTAGGCAGGCCCAGCTGAATTTCTAAATCTAGATATAGTGATCTGGGAACGCTGAAGCCGTGGCGGAACAAAGAATGTAAAAAGAAAACCTCCACAGCTCAAGAAATGTGCTATAAAAACTTCAAAGGGCAACATCAACGATTCAGCTATCACATAGAGTGATTTCCCTTCATATTTACTTCCTTGGAGAAGTTCCGTTCGTTGTTTAGTGTGCCTGGTCGAGTCGGTCAGCGGTACTGAGCGGAAATTACGGGCCGGCAACTAAAGTTGCCAACGGTACTGTGTTAAAGAAACTGAACAAGGGTCCAAAAACTTTACCCTCCATTTTCTCAAAACAGCATTTTACGGGATAGCCCCCTTGTGCTTAAAGTCGACTAAATGTTCTCCAGTTCTTGTCACAGCTGTACAATTGATTAGTTTTAGTTTAGTCTGAATTGTATGAGAGTTAATAAACAGGACAGGACAATAACTTTTTTATTACAGTGAAAAGACAAGATGGACACCTTCTTGATTTTCAAAAATAGTTTTAAAAAGACTTCCTCCAACACCCTCTTTAATCAAATGTCTTATCTATTGAGTAAATGCCAGACATGTTCCAAAATTGGATTAAAACTTTTCAGAATACAATTTCAGTTTGAGTTGGGGGGGGAAGGGGGGGGTTGCTGTTACTGTTATGAATGCTTGCACATTTATGAGCTTGCATTTTTGTCATAATTCTTAGAAGTTGGTACATCTACTGACTAGACTACACATTATTATTTTGTCTCATTTTTCTCATTCGACGTAAATATCTGCTAGGTTGTGCTACAACTGACTGGAAATCTCCATTCTTTTCTGAACACTTGTGTAGGCAAAACATGCTTATAACTTGAAACTTATCTTTTTATGATAAACATGATGCGAACATGTGCATATTTTCAAGCTAATTTGCTGCTACAGAATTGGAAAAAAAAGCTTAGGACTTGTCAGAGTAAATTGAAAGTGTACAAGTTTATATATATTATTTTTTGTTGTATCCACAGGTTCTGACGATGACCTCGAGTACTACGTGCGCGAGTGTGGCGACATCCTGGGCGTGACTCACAACTTGCCGCAAGAAAGCCGCACGGCCAAGCACATCCTGGAGCATGTGTTCACGCAGATCGTGGAGTTCAAGAAACTCAATCAGGTCAGTTCTATAGCACTATAGCACTCTAGCACGGGGGGGGGGCGTAGATTGTGGGGATTCAATCAGAATCAGGTCAGTTGTATAGCACAGGGTGGGATTGTAGATTGTGGAGACTGGATCAGGTCAGTTGTATAGCACAGGGTGGGATTGCAGATGAGGTATCTGCAAAAAATGATTAATTTTTGCATCTTCCATTAAATGGATGCCTATACCCATTCTGCATCTCATGTCAAAGGCAGGAAGATGTATCTGCACTACAAATATGATATTTCACTATGGCAAACAGACGTAACTGAAGAGTCAAGCCAATATTTCCTATGGCAGCGTGACGTAACTCAAAGTCATAAAAAGTGCAGATACGTTGCTCTGCCTTGGCACGGCAGTATAGTAGCACTCTGGCTGGG